GCGGAAACCAGAGACTTCCTTCTCTCCAAAAAGATCGAGTGGCAGTTTTCCACACCTAAGTCGCCCTGGCAAGGTGGCTTTTTTGAGCGCATGGTCTCAATGGTCAAACGTCCCCTTAGGAAAATTCTAGGAATCCACTCGCTCAAGTTCAGAGAGCTCGAAGCGGTCCTCTTTGAGATAGAGCGAATGGTGAACATGCGTCCGATTTCGGCCGTCGTCTCCGATCCAAATGAGCCCAGAGCCCTCTCTCCTGCCGATCTCATGTACGGCTACTCATCTAATCAGTATCTTCCCGATACAAAACGGATACTGGCTCAAGCGGAAGGAGCCACGGCAATCGTTTTTTCCCAACGATGGAAAGCCCAACAATCAGCACTCCGGGGGTTCTGGAAACAATTCCGGAACGAATACCTGCAGTATCTCAGATCGCTCCATTACAATAAACCGAACAGCAGCAGACCCCTAGCGGTGGGCGACGTTTGCATAATCCAAGCTCCGGACCCATCTAGGGCTTTCTGGCCCATTTGCGTGGTTCAAGCTCTTTCCGGCGGGGAGGGCTCTGACCGACGCCAAAGAACCTGTGTCGTCAAAACAGGCAGTGGTCAGATTCTCAAGCGCCCAATCCAGCTACTTTACCGCCTAGAGGTTTCGCAATTCTAATTCCCACCCGGTCTCCTAGTTCATTCAATCATTCGATCTCGCCCAGTACTCACCCTATCGCATGGCTCCCCGCAACATCACTTCCATCACCACGAGCACGATCTCTGAGACACTGGCCCGCCGCATCCGGGTGGACCGCAGTTCGCGGCTCAGGGCTTGCGCCCAACCCCTCTGCTCCGGGGTTAACTGGGCCCAGACCCCCCGTGTCCAGGAACCTGCTCTTCACTGGACGCCCGTCGGAACTCCGCACACAGAACCCTAAAGTACAGTAGAAGGATACCAGTCGGACTTAGCAAAAATCCTCGCGGATCGGCATCACCACGAACTGACGTTTCGGCACCAAATGACGATTCTAACTCCAACGGACCATAGGCAGGGACCGACTCTGTAGTCCATAGACAGGCAATCCGGTCGCACTGGTCGGCACATACACGTCCAGAAAAAACGAATTCGAGATGAGCGGAACTTCTAGGATAGAATCTCATATTTCGCGCGGTCAGTGATGAATATTGTCCGTTTCACCTTCCGCTCTAGATACTGAAGACCTAAGTCTGTAACGGTCACTGACCGGTCACCACTTAACCCGTTCACAGTGTTTTCAGCATGACCCATATTCGGATGCTCTTCTGTATTCAACCCTTTCCTGTGACTCGCTATCAGAGCTGTGCGCCGTGAGCTCATCCGGCGGCGGCGGTCACGAAAAACCTCAGCGGCGCGGCGCGCCACGGCGTTTTGCGGCGGGTCCCCGCCGCGCCGCATTCCTTATGTTTTAAATTTCTCGTTGCCATTTGAGTAGACAAGATACTACTAGCCTATAATCGATCGCCAAACACGATTACACTCGATATGTAGCGAGCTTCGGGTTTGAAGGATGGGGGAGAGCGGAAGAAACAAACTCTGACATGATGACGTCTAGTGATAGACCATTTCATAGAAATTCTTTATTGTCATGTACGAATAGAACTCTTGTTGCGGTAATCGGGTTCATCGAGCATCGTTTCTCGCGCAAGAGATTCCCAGCGATCGAAAAACGTCTTTCCGGTTCCGCTGAGGTGGCGGGGATCGACAAGATAATCCGCGCCAAGTTAGCGACAGCGGGAAAGGTCGACTCATTTTGGGACCACCACTTCAGTACCTCATCGCGATCGTCAGGGCCGCAGCTCCCACTCAATCTAACGGGGCTGGCGAGATAACGATCAACTTGATTGGCCATGTTCTCGAATGGGT